TGGGCTTATGAGTTTGTTTTAGTAAATTTCATCCTCAGTTTTTTAATTTTTTCAATTGAGTCCTTTTCTTGTTTTTTTTCTTCAACTTCTCCCCCAAATTTTTCATAAAATTTTTTTATAACAATAAATCCGAAATGATACACGAAAAATTCCGGTATCCGATACGTACCGTTCCAGTAACAAAATCGGTACGCATATCGATACGCATACCAGTACGGTATTGACTACTTTGGTTACAATCCTATAAATAGCTAAAACTAATCCTAACCAAAATAAGAAACTAACAAACTAGGCCCTAACCCTAATAACCACAAATTTGGGCTTCAACTAAATGAATGTTTAGCCCAAATAACACCACAAAAAAAAAAAAAGAAGTAAAAATAAGCTAAAATAACCTAAAACATTATGAAATATCAGTTTGCTGCCAACTACGGCAGATTTGATGCAAACTGTGTAATTCAACCCGAGAAAGAAAAAAAACACTTGGCATGCAAACCAAAACCCAAAAAGGAAAGTAATGAATTTGAGCCAAAATGCTTTGCCGAATTCACACCCAAAGTTCATGACCATTATTTGCAAAGATTAGGCTTGGCTTTGACAGAGTCTTCTAGAACTTGGATTAGATTGTGTAATTCTGAGGCTCACATGGACTTCTCTCAATGGGCCTCCATGAATTGGCTTGAGTCCATATTTCTCGAATCAGCCCATTAGGCACTTCCTTGAACTTCTTAGCTCGAGCCCTCGTAACTAGTCCAATTGGAACTTAAATTGAATCCTTTAAAGTCAAACCTGGATTTACATCATTCCCCTCCTCTTAAAAAGGATTTGTCCTCAAATTGTCTACTGCATCAAAAGGACTCAAATCAGTAACGTTGAAAGTGGCACTAACATTATACTCACCTGATAAATCTAGCTTGTAAGCATTATCGTTGATGCACTCTAGGACTTGGAAAGGATCATCTCCTCTTAGAAGCAATTTGGAACACCTTTGTGCTGGGAATCTTTCTTTCCTCATGTGTAACCAAACCCAATTTCCAAGTTCGAAGACCAACTTAAAACGCCCCTTATCGGCTTGCCTTGCATATTGCTCTATTCTTCGCTCAATGTTGAGTCTTACCTTCTTGTGAATCTGCCTCACAAAATCAACTTTCTTTTTGCCATCATGAGGTTACACTCGAGATTTTGCTTGCCTACACGTGACACATCTACCATAAATCCTCTCAACATCTCTTTTCATGTGTGGCCAAAAGAAGTGTTCCTACAAGATAGCTAAGGTCTTAGCAACTCCAAAATGTCCCATTAACCCTCCGTTATGGGATTCCCCAACTAGCAAATCACGCAAAGAACAACTTGGCACACATAACTTGTATTCTCAAAACAAGAAACCATCATGACTATAGAACTTACTTGCTGCATTTTTCTCACAAGCTTGAAACTCCTCACAAAAATCTTGGTCTAGAGGATATAATTCTTTAATGTGCTCAAAACTAAGTAATTTTGCATCAAGGATAGAGATTAATGCATACGTGCAAGAAAGTGCATCAACAACCACATTCTCCTACCTTGCTTATACCAAATGACGTATGGACACGTCTTGAGGAACTCCATCCATCGCGCATGCCTCTTGTTCAACTTGTGTTGACCTTTCAAGTGCTTCAATGATTCATGATCAGTGTGTATCACAAACTCCTCGGGCCAAAGATAATGCTGCCATGTTTTTAATGCCCGAACCAATGCATACAACTCCTTGTCATAAGTTGGGTAGTTTAGAGCTACCCCAGTTAGCTTTTCACTAAAATATGCAATTGGTCGACCTTCTTGCATGAGTACTGCACCAATAACTACACTTAAAGTATCACATTCAATGTCAAACATTTTATCAAAATTAGGTAAAGACAATAATGAAGCATTAGTCAATTTTTGCTTGATTGGCTGAAATGCCTTTTCTTGTTCTTTGCCCCACTTGAATCCAACGTTCTTCTTAATTACCTCGGTGAGTGGTGCTGTCAAAGTGCTAAAGTCCTTCACAAACCGTCGATAAAAACTAGCAAGTCCATGAAAGCTTCAGACTTCACCTATACTTGTAGGACTCGGCCATTCTTGAATAGCTCGGACCTTTTTTTCATCAACTTGTATTCCTTGTGCTCTAACAATAAAACCAAGAAATACGAGCCTATCAGTGCAAAAAGTGCATTTCTTCAAGTTAGCAAATAACTTTTCCCTTCTAAGCATATCCAAAACTGATTTTAAATGCATAACATGTTCTGCTAAGTTTTTGCTATAAATGAGTATGTCATCAAAATAAACAACAACAAACTTGTCTATGAATGCACACAAAATATGATTCATCAATCTCATAAATGTGCTTGGTGTATTAGTTAAACCAAAAGGCATGACTAACCACTCATATAATCCATGTTTTGTCTTAAAGGCTGTTTTCCATTCATCTCCCTCTTTCATGTGAATTTGATGATACCCACTTTTCAAATCAATTTTTGAAAATATACCAGCATCATGCAACTTATCTAACATGTCATCTAAGTGAGGAATAGGTATCAATACTTTACCATAATGCTGTTGATGGCTCGGCAATCAACGCACATCCTTCAAGTCCCATTCTTCTTCATTAATTTACTTACTTGCCTTTGAAGTTCCTTTGTCTCCTCAGGGTTGCTCCTATAGGCTGGTCAGTTTGGAATTGTCACACCAGGTACAAAATCAATTTGATATTCAATCCCTCGTATGAGGTAATCCAGGTGGCGTTTCTTTGGGAAATACATCCTTGTAATCCTACAAAAGAGAAATAACACTACTTGGCAAATTTTCCGACAAGATCATTAGCACAAAAAAGCCTCTTTGTACAGAAGTACTATAAAAACTTGTTGTAAATGTAAAGCTCTCTTGATCTGGCCTCTTTTTGCAATGAAACAATGTTGTGCCTCTCTTAAACTCACTAAAGCTAAATCTAATTTCTTTTTCTCTCTCTCAATTTTGTTGCCCTCTCCCTCTTTTTCTCTTAAATTTCCACTTCTATCTTTTCTCGCTCTCCCTTTTCTGCTCATTCTCTTCTTTTAGATCCCTCTCTCTTTTAAGCCTCACTTGATCCTCATACAACTATTGTGGTGTTACAGGTACAAGAGTGATTGCATGTTAATTGAGTACAAAAGAGTATTTGTTGGTAAACTCATCATGCTTGACTTGTCAATGAAACTGCCATGGACGCCCTAACAACAAGTGCACAGCATGCATTGGAACAACATCACAAAGTACCTCAACTTTGTATTTTTCGATCCGAAATGCAATTAACACCTATTTGTTTACCTTTACCTCATCACCATCATTCAACCATTGCAACTTGTACGGACTAGGGTGTCTCAATGTGGGATATCCTAATTTTTCCACCATGGTTGTGCTAGTAATGTTCGTACAACTACCACCATCAATAATCACACTCCATACCTTATCTTTGACATAGCACCTAGTGTGAAAGATGTTCTCTTGTTGCACTTCATCCACGTCCTTTGCTTGCACACTTAAAGCCCTCATCGCCACCAACAACTCTCCATGTACAGCAAGCTCTTCCTCATAGGTGTCCTCCAATGGTGGCATTTCATTGGTGTCAGAATCTGTCTTAGGTCACAATTTCACCATTGTCTTGCATCACCATAACTCGCTTGTTTGGATGTTGACTCGTTATGTGACCCTTGCCTTGACATCTAAAGCACTTAATATCACGATTTCGAATAATAGAAGTGCTAGTTTTACCTTGAGAATTGCGGCTGGTGTTCTTGGTCTTATGCTCAAATTGGTGCTTAAGAGTTGAAGACAATTGTGGCTTGTCCTCCTTTCTAAAAGAACTTGGTTTCTAAGGATTAGACCCTAGGTTATGGCTAGCACGTGTACCTCCCCTCCTCTTGAGCTATTGCTCTACAATGATAGCCATGTGCACCATGTCTTTTAGCTCCACATAATGTCGCATCTCCACCCAATCATGGATGTCTAGATTTAATCCTTGCAAGAATCTTGCCATGGTTGCCTCTCGATCTTCTTCTACATTGACTCTAATCATGGCTTTCTCCATCTCTTGATAATACTCCTGCACACTCCAATGTCCTTGCCTAAACCCTTGCAACTTTTTGTACAATTCCCAGTAATAATGGCTGGGCATAAATCGCTTCCTCATCACCGCCTTCATCTCTTCTCATGTTTCAATTGGATGCTCCCAGTTTCGATGCCTATTCAGCACCAACTAATTCCACCAAACAAGAGATAGTTGGAAAATTCAATGACTGCTAGTCTCACCTTTTTAAGCTCGAAATAATTGTGGCAATCGAAGACTAACTCCCCCTTCCTTTCCTACTCAAGATAGGCTTCCAGATCTGTGATACAAACTACACCAACCTATGACGAAACCCGTAAACAAGACAAGGCACCAAGACCATTTCTAAGACAAGTTCAAAAGGATGGAACCGCGACCCGTTACCTATGACGAGGTAAGAACCTTGGTATGGAGAGGATGCCACAATCAACTATGGAAAGGTTGATTGATAAGTCGAGGATGAACTCCACGAATAATTCTGATAAGTTAGAAAAGTTGTTCAAAGAACCAAAGAGAATTTGTTCTCACAATGTTGATGAATAATGATCTGTTTTACAATTAGGGTTGCAGCCTAATAAATAGCTAAAACTAATCCTAACCAGAATAAGAAACTAACAAACTACTAACCCTAATAATCACGAATTTGGGCTTTAACTAAATGAATGTTTAGCCCAAATAGCACAACAAATGTAAAAATAAGCTAAAATAACTGAAGATCATTGTGAAATATTAGTTTGCGGCCAACTACAACAAATTTGACACATATTATGTAATTCAACCCAAGAAAGAAAAACTTGGCATGCAAGCCAAAACCAAAAAAGGAAAGTAATAAATTTGAGCCAGAATACTTGTTGAGTTCACGCCCAAAGTTTATAACCATTACTTGCAGAGATTAGGCTTGGCTTTGACAAAGTCTTCTAGAACTTGGATTACGCTGATGTAATTCTGAGGCTCACATGGAATTCCCTCAATGGGCCTCCACAAATTTGCTTGAGTCCATATTTCTCGAATCAGCCCATTAAGCGCCTCCTTAAACTTCTTAGTTCAAGCCCTCATAACTAGTTCAACGAGAACTTGAATTGAATCCTTTAAAGTCAAACCTAGATTTACATCAATCTGGTTTTCCTTGGAATGGCGGAATCTTCATCTTGATGCTGCCCAAACTATTGTCCTCCTGATTCTTAACTTCTCTATTCTCATTCCCATGCCTAAACCTACCCCAGTTCAATGGTGGCTCATTCAACTCTTCCAACTCCTCTTCTTCTTCTATGTCGCCCCAGTGTTCTCTTTGTTGTGTCTACCTAGGTCAATGTTTTTAAACATGGACCGAAGGTCAAACTATTTTGACCTCTGGTTCACAGTTTGAATGGTTTAACTGGTAAAACCACCGGGTTGATCAATATAGTATAAATATATTATTATACAAAGTATTTCACAAGGTGTTCATTGGGTGCAATGATGGGTGGCTAGGTAGTTATAAGAAAGATCACAAGTTCGAGTCCCCATGAGAACAAACTTTAATATAATTGTGGTTTTAAAAATAGAATAAATATATTATAAAACAAAAAATTACAAATAGAAGCTTGTGTCTCAAGTGGAAGAGACCTTGTTTCATAACATAGAGAATTGGTATTCGAATCCCATGGTTGTCATTCATAATTTAGTTAAAAGCTTTGAGATTTCTATTACATAAATATAATTCTAAGCATCCATTTACATAGGGATTGCATTGTCCTAGTGGCAAGGAATTGGAATAAAGGTTTCAAGGTTACAACTTCAAGCTTCAAGGGAGACAAATTTCTCAAGCTTTTATTCTCAAGCATTGAATCATTCGGTCGCATAGTTTTTCGGTTTGAGCGGTTCCAACGATTCTTACTGGTTTCAAATGGTTTAAAGGATGCACCTGAACCATTTATACTACTAGATATCGGTTCAATCGGTTCGATCAACTAATCTAATTTGATTTTCAAAACCATGGCCTAAGTGGTGGTCGAGCAAGAGAATTTTGTTGCTGCTTCCTATTCTCCAATTGCAACATTTCCAATTGCTCTTGCATGGGTTCAATTAACCTATTCACCATCCATCATACCTCTCCCACTATCGCCTGCACTTATAGGTTTGGAAGGGTTTGTTGTGGAAGTTCTTCACTCGAGTGTTCTTTTTGGTTGCGTGACATGTTTGTAATCTGCAAAATGGGGTAAGAAACAATATGGAAAAGACCTCACCACACTCCCTCATGTGTTTTGCTCAAAAAAATATGTATAACTCAATTTCGCTCATGTTGCATTGAATTGGCTTTTACCCTTTAATATGCTCACCACTCTTGCCTTTTTCCACTCCTGAATTCTCTTTCAGTTCTTTTCAAACTAAACAAACAATATTCAAAATTCCCAATAGCACTTCACCAGAAACTTACCAACCAAAATTCAAGTTTTGAAATAAGGACTGCAATGAACACTTACCAACTAGATTTTGGAATTGACAAAAAACACGAAAATTTTGGACAAAAAAATTTTGCACTTTGGGGTAAAATCATATTAGGACTCCTGGATATTAGAATAATGGAAGGAAATAATAAAAAAGTAAGAAAGACAAATCAGTTTGATTATTCCTAATAGGAATTGGATTGACGAATCCTTAAGACAGTAGGATTCCTAACTCAGGAAGAAGAAACAAACAAAACTGTTATATCCTAATTTGACCAGAATTCAAACAAATCTCAAACTTCTTATTTGACCAAAAATTTAAAGACAATCTCTACTCCTTATTGTAGTAGGATTCATTTCTCTTTAAGGATTTGGCCACTGATTTCAACTCTATATAAGAAGTTCAACCACAAATTTCTTGTCTCTCTAACTCACTTTTTTTTTTTTTTTTGCATCTTCTTCTTTTCTTTTCTTTTCTTTTCTTTTTTTAACTTCTCTTTCTTTTCTTTTTTTTTTTTAACTTTCGCGCTTTTTTTATTTTTAGAACCAATAACACAGATTCAAGAAATCAAGACAAGCAGAATTCTAGCAACAAAGGAAAGAATGAAACTACAAAGGAAAGAACGAAACTAACTTTTTTTTTAACGGAAGAAACTGAAAGATTAAAGATACACAAACCTGATTTAGAACCTTTGCTTTGATACCCAAACTGATATGAACTGCGTCAAACTGTGACGAAACCCATAAATAAGCCAAGGCACCAAGATCGTTTCTAAGACAAGTTTGAGAGGATGGAACCACGACCTGTTACCTATGATGAGGTAAGAACCTTGGTATGGAGAAAATGCCACAATCAACTATGGAACGGTTGATTGATAAGTCGAGGATGAACGCCACAGATAATTCCGATAAGTGCAAAAAATTGTTCAAAGAACAAGAGAGAATTTGTTCTCCCAATGATGATGAGTAATTGTCCGTTCTACAATTAGGGTCACAGCCCTATAAATAGTTAAAACTAATCCTAACCAGAATAGGAAACTAACAAAATGGGCCCTAACCTTAATAACCACGAATTTGGGCTTCAACTAAATGAATGTTTAGCCCAAATAACACCAAAAAAAAAAAACATAAAAATAACCTAAAATAACCTAAAATATTGTTCAAAGAAATATCAGTTTGCGGCCAATTGCAATAGATTTGATGCAAACTGTGTAATTCAACCCAAGAAAGAAAAAAAAAACTTAGCATGCAAATCAAAATCCAAAAAGGAAAGTAATGAATTTGAGCCATAATGCTTGCTAAATTCACACCCAAAGTTCATGACCATTACTTGTAAAGATTAGGTTTGGCTTTGACAGAGTTTTCTAGAACTTGGATTAGGCTGATGTAATTCTGAGGCTCACATGGACTTATCTCAATAGGCCTCCACGAATTTGCTTGAGTCCATATTTCTCGAATCAACTCGTTAAGTGCTTCCTTGAACTTCTTAGCTTGAGCCCTCGTAATTAGTCCAATGGGAGCCTGAATTGAATCCTTTAAAGTTGAACTTGGATTTACATCAGGGAAGAATTTGCATATTTTGCCTTTTTCTAAGGATAAAGGAAGTTTATGGAAGAGAGTTGCCAGGAATTTGCACCTTTTGCCTTTTTCTAAGGATAAAGGAAGTTTATGGGAGAGAGTTGTTGTGGAGAAATATATGAGAAAGAGTGGTGTTAGGATGTAAGACAGATTAAGTTAGGAGGGTGTCTGGTCTCAAGAAAAACATTTTTGTCATTGAGAGAATTTGATATATTTAGAGAGGGATTCAAACGAAAGTTAAGAAGTAAGGAAAAATAAAATTTGGTCTAATGGTATTTGGTCTTGGAACATTGCTTGGAGTTGGAGAAGCCCTCTTTTTGGTAATGAATTGAAAAAAAGCAAGTGTAAGGAGTTCTTGCAAACTTGTTGTTTAGTGGAAGCAAAAAATGATCATAAAATTTGGACATATGACTTGATAGCTGGATATTCTTCAAAAAAGGCATACAACATTGTAGACAATCAAACCAGCATCCTTGAAAAGAGGATTTATAGAATGCTTTGGAGTAAGCTTTTACCACCTAAAGTGAGTTGCTTCAGTTGGAGTCTGTTGCTTTAAGAACTTTCGTGCAAAGTCTTTCTCCAGTTAAGAAGAGTAGAATTAATAATGAAGAAGCTCTATGCCTGTTTTGTGAAAAGGTGGAGGAAACAATTAACCATGTGTCTTCAGTCATTGTGAAAACATTCAAAACCTATGGAAGAGATGTTACTCCTAGTGAAGTATGTTGGAACTCAATAGTCTCAATTCAAGCTCTATGTGAAACACATTGTAAGTGTATTACCAATATAACTTCTGGTGATGTATGGGCGTTCATGTTTTTTGTGATAACTTGGTCAATTTGTTTCTAGAAACTCCATCCTTCATTATGATGCTAGTTTGGATACGAGGGTTACATTTTTGATATGATTGTGAGACAATCTTTTGCTTGGTTACATGGGAAGTTGAAGAGACCATTCTTATGTTTTCCCATCAGTTGCTGCTTATCTCTTGCTCTGTGTTTTAAAAATATTTAATTCAAAGAGACTAGTTATTGAAACAAATGTAATATTAAAGTTTTATTATGTAGTCTAAAATTAAAATATAATGCTCATTATGTAAAAGGATGGAAGTACCCCTTGTGTTTTAATTAATAAAAAAGTTCTTTTAACAAATAAAAAAAATGAATTAGTAAGAACAGGAGAGATTACTGG